CTATCCTTCTGACAGCCACCCTGAGAAAGCCCCATGTGTGTGTGTGTGTGTGTGTGGGTTTCTGTCGGTGTGTGTGTGTGTGTGTGTGTGTGTGTGTGTGTGTGTGTGAGAGTCGGAGCCTAGTCCTAGTTCCCACTTGTCTGAGTGGGCGGCTGGGGGCCTGCATGCCAGTACTCTGGGCCAGGGACACACAGACTCCAGCCTGTGTGAAGTCAGAAGCACTGAGGAGCTCAGGAGCCCGAGTGGCCAAAGGAGCCAGGAGGTCCCCTTGCTCACCTGCCCATCCTCACCAGCACCCTTGCTCCCTCAGAAGGAGGCTAGCAGGAGGGGCATTTCTTCTTCCTGACACAGTGCTGTCACTTGACCCCGGGCACATACCAGAATGAGGCCATGGCCAAGAATAGGACCCAGGATCCCTGCCGCCCTGCCAGCATGACTCACACATTCCCCGAGGAGCAGGGAGGCGGGTGGAGGAGGCATGAGCAGTGGAGTGGGGACCAAGAAGTTCTCAGCAAGGACAACCTTGTCTGTCAGCCAGCAGGCAGCCCAGCCGCTGCTCCCAGCCCCACCCCTCGCCCACCCACAGGCCCCTCAGGAGCACAGCCTCCCACCCCTGTTCTGCCGGGCAAGGGAAGAGGGAGACGGGGACTTGGAGAAGTGGCCTCAGCTGTCAGGGACAGCCAAGTCTTCCCCAAGGAGCCAAGTCCTTTGGGATGAGCAAGCCTGGGCTGATGTCTCACCCAGGAATCTAGGCCATGCCTGCTTCTGTGTGTGAGGACACCATGTCACACGCGAGGTGGTAAGCCAGCCTTGGGGTGGGAGGTGTAGATGGCCAACCAGAGGAGACTCTTTGGGGACATATAGGGTCCTGATGGGATGGCTGCACTGCACATGTCCTGGCCCAGAGTGCGTGCCTGTTTCATTCGGGGGAGGGAGTGGGGTGGGTGACATGCGCCTGGAGTGCTCGGTGTTGTGTGTCATCAACTCTGACCCGAAGCAACCCTATAGGCCTGAGTGGAATTGTCCCCCACGGTTTCCTAGGCCTCAGCTACCACCCAAAAGGGCAGTGGTTCAAACCCACGCAGTGCTTCCTGGAAGCAAGAGGAGGCAGTCGGCTTTTCATAGGGATTTACAGCCTGGGAAAGCCTCTGGGCCCTTCTACTCGGTCCTAAAGGGTGATCATGAGCCGGGCCGGTTGTACCCTTCCCAGGGAGGGTTGCCAACCTTTCCCGGCAAGGAGCCTCTGCTCACCACTGGTGTTTTGGTTGCAGCCAAGTGCCGCACCATTGTGCCATAAAGGGGCCAAGTCTCTCTGCCGAGGTCCAAACCCTGGCTCTGCCACTGGCCGGCTGAGTGGCCTCGGCAGGTTTTTCAGCCCCTCTCGGCTCAGTTTCCTCATCTAGAACCTGCTAATGGGCCTGTGTGATGAAGACGGCAGGAGACGCTGCCCGGTGCCCGGCACGCAGTGAGCACACACTCCTGGTGGATGTTGGCAGAGGAGCAAGACAGCTGGGAGGGGCACTTCTCCCAGGCCTCAGGAAGTGGCCACGGAGCTAAGTATTTATTCCGTTCCACCCCCTATCCCGGCGCTCGGGCCCCACTGTCCAGGGGGTGACATCAGACTCGGGAGCAGCTGGCCAGAGCAGAGTGTCCTGGGTGGCTGGAGGTGCTGGGGAAGGCAGAGGGTGGAAAAAGCCAAGTTCAGGTGCCCCGGAGGCCTCGGGGCTGGGCCAGAGACAGCTGAGAGTCGAACAGAGAGGGACTGGGGTGGGAAGAAGAGTGGGGAGGGATCCCCGTTAGATGCAAGAAGGGAAAGCCGGTGTCCTGGGTGAGCTGTCCTCTGGGATCAAGGAGGCCTGGGACCTGTCAGTCACAGTCTCACGGTACCTCGAGGCCCAGGCTGGGTCTAGCTTCCTACACAAGATGCAGCAGTCTACCGGGGCTGCCTGGACACCAGACACAGAACTGCAGCTCTGCCTTTATGGAGCACAGTGTAGATGCCAGGTGCATGCAAGGCCCGGGGAACAGAGAAGATTCGAGCTTGGTTTTAAGGATGAACAATAGGTAAATAAAGACCACACAGTGGGTTCAATCTTCTAACAGATTCTAAACCGGTGCGTCCATGTTTTCTGAGCCTCCCTTCAGCCTGCAAGGGCTGCTGGCTTGGATGTATCTGTGAACCGCACAAGAAACCGTTTGAAGTAAAGACTAGCCCTGGGTGGACACTGATGCTGGGACACCCAGGCGCAGAGGGAGGAGGGTAGGGCTTTAGGTCCTGGGCCTGCCCTGCCACTAGGGAGCTGTGAGGGTGAAGAGCAGGCGCTGGGCAGCCTGCCTGGACCTGTCTTGTTCCCCGGCTTTCCAGGTTTACAAGGTTAACGGGGTCTCACTCCTCCAATGCCGCTCTCACTAGGCCTGCTTTACAGACTGGGAGACTGAGGAGGCTCAGAGCCCAGGTTCAGATCTAGGGTTTGACTCCACAGGCTGGGTTTTCTCACTCTGCCAGGCAGGCTGGAGTGTAACAGGGACCCCAGTGTGCGGGTCGGGGTCGGGGAGAACTGTGTGTGGTCAGTGAGCTGTGAGATCAGACTCCCCTGAGCCCCACAACCCTAACAGAGAAACAGAACAGGGCCTTGGCCCTGCTGTCCAGCCTGGCCCCAGGGCTCAGACCCGTATCTGTGCAAATCACAGGGTGATCTGGTGACAGGTGAGGGTGTGAGGACCCAAGTTCGAGGCTGATGTTCATACCACCTTGGTGGCCAAGTTCTGTGCCCAGTGTTTTCCCCACAGCCACGTGAGGAACCCCAGTCCTCTGTCCAGGCAGGGAGTGCCCTGTCTCCCTGCTCCCAGACTTCCTCACACCCTTATACTAGGGATCTCCTCTCAAAGGGAGATTGGCTGGGGTGAGTTGGGCCTAATTCTGCCTCTGGGCTGTGGCCTGAGAAGACCCAGGAAACTGTTGGGGGCAGAGGTGTCTCGGGTGACCTTGGTTCCCAGCCTGTGCCTTCACAGCGGCAGAGCGCCCTCTCCTGAGAGGGCAGCGGGCATGCATGGGGTTCTGATCCAGGGTCTTCTCAGGGCTGGGCCTCACCCAGTAGCCCCCGAGGGAGGAAGGCAACCGGTCACACACACCTTCTCAGCTCCCTGCTTCTTCTCCACCTTGTCACCCCAAGACCCGACTCCATCCATGGCTGGGGCTGGTTTCTGTGCGTAATTTGTCACGAAGTGGGGGAGCACCAGGGTGACAAATTGGAACACCCACTCTCCACCCCACTGCACCCCACTCCTGTGCCTGTGCTGTAACCAGTCACCGGACCCCCTCAGGGCTTTGGCTCTCTTGGGCTTAATCCACAGTGTCCTGGTGACCCCAGACATCTGGATCCTCCGAGCTGTCAGGAGGCTCCAAAGGCAGGGTTCCCCCGAGGCCAGGCTTCCCTTCCTCAAAATGACCAAAGTCAGTTTGGCTCTCCCAGCATGCGCAGCCCTTAACCCAAATGAACCACACCAGGACTCTGGATACAATGTAGCCTTTTAATGGGATGCCTTTTCCAGGACCTGCTACAGCTGTGGAGGGGCTTGAACAGATGAAAGGCTGCGGGGAGGGGCGGGGGGCATGCGGAGCTGACAGTTCCCCAAATCTTCCACCTAGTGATGGGGTCCACACAGGGAGTCTGGAAACACACACCCAATTCCCAGGAGCTGCTACATCCGGGAACCTGCCCTCCCAGGCCAGCTCTAGCGCCTCTCTCTAGATGCCGCTGAGTACCACCAGATGGCAGCTTCGAGCAACGCTCCTTCTCTAACCGGCCCCCCTCCTCCCTTCCTGCTGTCTTAACTCACTCCTACACTGCCCTGGCCCCATGGCCCTTTCTTTCCCTCCACCGAAACAGATCGGCTGACTTTCATCTGCTTGATTTCTAAGGAAACCGCCTCATAGGAAAGCATGCTGTCTGTCAAATGGGACCCTTTGACAGCTATGGGCTGCTTCTGGGGGGATTTGTACTAGGTCACTAGGAGTTGAGCCAGACGGATATAGCCATTCTCTGTGGCCAGGGCACTTGGCACATAGTCAGTGTTCAGGAAGTAGCCACTGAGTCAGAGGGAATGGAGCTGGACCAACAGAACACCCCAGGCAAGAACTAGCCTGTGTCCTGCTAGTGCATTGGGAGTTTTTCAGAGCCTAAGCCACAGTGCAGACCCCTTGTCCCTGCAGCCTCCGCTCGGGGAAGTTGTGTGCCGGGTTACGGATGCCTGCCTCCCGCTTCCCACTGCCCACAGCCCTTAACGTGACAGACTGACCATCAGGATCTAGGGGGCTGGGGGAGAATTTGTCCAGATGGGTTCTTGGGACCTCCTTTCTGTCCCCATCTACCACCTTCACTCCCCAACTCAGTCAACCCTTCCTGTGACTGGGTGCAGCCATCTCTAGAATCCTGGGGGGGTGGGGGAGCGCCTGGGAGCAGTGGGAAGCAACGAGTATGCCTGCAGCAAGGAGGCGGTTGTATGTGTCTGGCTGTACACAGCTCCTTTTGCCCCCTCAACTCAAAAAGACCCCAGGACAAGAAGCTGACCTGGACCCCTCTGGTGACGTTTCTCTCCAGTGTGAGTTGAGATTTCCTAGCTACTCTGACCTTGCCCTGTCATCCGGCTGCAGGTGTTGGGCGGGGTGGGATGGGAGCGGGCAGGGTGGGAAGGGAATGGGGCCAGGTGGGGACTCAGGGGGTGTCCAGCTCCTTGAGGATGTCGCAGGTCTTCTTGTGCATGATCTCACGCAGCTTTCTGACCCGCCGGATGCTGGACGTGCCCACGAAGCTGTCGGGACGCAGCACGGCCATGCCGCCGTCCACCTCGCCCATGATGATGAGGGGCGTCTCTCCGGCCGTCACGTTGGGGCAGGGGCAGGCCCAGTCCATGTGGAGCAGGGTCACCTCCAGCGGCTCCCGGCCCAGGAACTGGAGGCCCATCTTCTCATCCTTGAGGACCTCGTCCACGGTCACCAGGGCTCGGCCCGCATCCGGCTCCTCGGTCAACTCGGACACTCGGCCCAGGATGACAAAGTCGCTCCAGCAGAAGCTGGTCACGAGCTTCTGCCGAGGCTTGCAGGCCCGGCAGCGCTGGTTGCCCCGCGGGAAGGGGCAGGACTCCTCGCAGGACTCCCGGCTCTCGAAGTTGTTGCCATTGCCCTCACAGCCGCCATAGACAAAGGGCTGGCACTGGCCCGTCTGGCCATTGTAGGCCCAGCGAGGGGCATAGGCCTTGCAGGGCCCCTGCAGGGCGGGCAGGCTGCACAGGGCCCGCGGGCCTCTCATGCAGGCCTGCACGCAGGCCTCGTAGGTCTCAAAGTGGTTGCGGCTGTGGTCGCAGTGGCCGGAAGTGAAAGTGAGGCAGTTGCCGGCCTGGGTGTCAAAGTACCAGCGGGTCTGCTCCTCGCCGCAGTCCTCCGTGTCCGGGGGCTTCAGGCACTCGGCTGCGGGGAAGGCGGTGCCGTTGGTCCTGCTCTCCGAGGTGCCCACGGCCTGGCCAGGCCTGACCACGGACAGCGGGAAGTCCGCGCGCAGGACCCCGGCAGCATTCCGGGCTGTGCAGGTGTAGATGCCAGCGTCCTGGGGCTGGGCATTGTAGATGACCAGCTGGCCAATGTTGGTGACCACCACGTTGCCACGCACGTGGTTGGGCCGCAGGACCACGTTCTCCCGGTCCTCCAGCTGCTTCTCCCACGTGACCTCAGGCCGGGGCCGGCCCACCACGTCACAGAGGAAGCTCACCGTCTCGCCCACGGTGACCGACTGGTGCGCGGGGTGGTTGAGCAAGGCCGGGGCTGCAGTGTCCAGCGCCGGCGTCTCCGGCGAGGCCGTGGTGGGGCGCACAGTGGTCTCAGGCAGCGGGGGGCTGGTGTTGGGCCAGGTGAAGTGGTAGCGACAGGTGACCACGGCCAGGGTGACGCCCTTAGAGCAAGCCTCGGCGTCCATGTAGCAGCGGTTGTAGTAGGTGAGCCCGTCGGAGGCGCAGGTGAAGCCGGGCTCCTTCTCGCAGCGATCCCTGCACTTGCACACGGGCTGGCCGTCCCAGATGTCGCACTCGGAGCCCTGCTGCAGGCACATGAAGTGGTCGCACGTGGCCTCCCTGGGCATGCCCACCGGGCCCTTCTTCCCGTTCACGTCCATGTACCGGGCCGCCACACAGCTCTTGGTCCCGCACACGTTGGGGCAGCACTTCTCATAGGTCTCACACTCCTGGAAGGAGCGAGGCAGACGCTTGAGCAAGAAGGGGGAGCAGGAGAGGGTAGGCTCGACCCGCCCACCCACTGCTTTGGAGGAGTCAGGTAATGGGATCAGGAAGCAGCATGTGCTTACCAGGCGCCAGAGGCTGGTCAGCCCAGTGGCAGGGGGCCTGCCTGCAGCACTTACTATGCAGGAAGCATCTGCCCACTTAGTTCACCTTCCTCACATGTCTAAGAGGGCGTACAGCCATTAACTCCCCTTGACAGGTGACTGGGACTGAGGGTAAGTAACTTGTCCCAGGTCACACAGCCAGCAGTGTGGGAAGAGATCAGCCACAGTTGCTGAACAGTGGCATTTCCTTACGACCATTGTACCAAGGAGAGTGCAGTGGCTCAGAGAGGGGACACCCAAGTCGCCGCAGTGGGGAGGGGAAGGCGGGCTTCCATCCCCAGAGAGATGTGAGTCCAAAATCCTTCACAGAGCTACCACAACAGGGCCCAAACTCGCTGCCATCCAGTAGATACCGACTCACAGTGACCCCATAGGGCAGGGTGGAACTGGCCCCGTGAGTTTCTGAGACGGTCCCTCTCTATGGGAGTAAGAAGCCCCATCTTTCTTCTGCAGAGTGGCTAGTGGATTTGAACTGCTGACCTTCCAGGTCACAGCCTAACCCACAGTCACTGCACCACCAGAGCTGGAGGTGTCAGCAGCGTGGCCCGCATGCTTGTCTCTTTCCCGTTCCCTGGTCAACTTGAAGTTGTCATGCCAGCCACAGAGAGGGCAACGTCTAAACCCGCAGGGACAGGTGTTCGAGGCTGTGTGTCCTGCCCTCCCCTCAAGGACACACACACACACCAGAGTAAAGGCTCTGATGAGGCCTTCCCCCAACAGCCCCCCTAACTAGTTGACCCCAGGTCTGTCTGACAGAGTGGAACTGGGCCCTGCAGGGTGACCTTCGGAGACGGCTGCAGATCAGAGGTGCCTCTGAGTGGATGCCCACCGCCAGCTTCTTGGTTAAGAGTCGAGCGCTTCACCACTTGCACTACCACCCAGATTCCTCCAAAGCAGTTGTGCGGGCCCGAGGATGCCAGCTCTGGGCACCATGGGCCATCCTAGGCACGGATTTCCAATGTGTGGGGGCATTCCACGGGGGAAGCCACGAGAGAAAACAAACTGTGCGGCAAAGGTCAGCAGGACCGTCAGCGAGGACTTAGCGGCCGTAATCCCCTCTGCTTTGCTGTGGAGCCACGTAAGGCATTAGTTTAATTCCTCAAAATTAGCAGCGTCCTCCTGGAGCTGGTATAAACAAGGATCTCACGAGATGCTTGCTTTCAACAGTAACGCGGGTGCCCGCTGGGCAGGCGGCCTGGCCCGCTCCTAATCCTCAGGCCTGGTAGTAACTGTGAGTCCCTCCCACGGGGTGGGGGGGTGGGGGGAGGCTGGCCTCTTGTCCTCCCGACTTTCATTTCAGCCTCTCTGACATTCCACATCGGCTAAGCAAGGGGACAGCCCCCACCCTGGCGGCATGGAGCCGGTCGATTGACTTGTTTACTGTTCCCCCCTCCAGCTCAGAATGAGGACTCTGTTTTGCAGCCCTTGTTTGGCACGGACTTCTGGGCCACCCCAGGGGAGGCTCTGGGGCAGGGAGGCAGACGTCAGAGTTGGGGCCTGAGAGGGTAAGACCTGGTAGGGGAGTCGGGGGCTGGAAGCAGGCCCAAGGGTTCTTCTGTTCATTAAGAGACTGGGCAGGCAGCAACTTTGAGACTAACAAGTTCAGTTAGTCTCAGGACCCCAAAGACGGGGTCCTCAGGCCTGAGAAAACCTAGAGGGGCCCTCGTGCATGTCAGGACCAGGGATGTACCATGGGTGTCCGAGGACGCAGTCTCACATGGGGGAAGCACACAGAATCAGGCAGCGCCACCTCGCTGCCCCCAAGTCCCCGGCCTTATCAGGCTGTGCCCTGCAGCTGGCTTTGGGCCCAGGCAGCGGGCTCATGACATGACCTCCTGGTGACGGGAACCCTCGGCCGTCCTTGACTCCTTCTCTCTCTCCCCACTCCGCACCCCACTGCCCGCTGGCAGCGCATGGCCTCAGAACCCTGAGAACAGAGCTCTGGGCATTGTCAGGCAGAGGCCTCCTCTCGCCTGGTGTCCCTGAGCCCCCTGGGGTGGGAGGAGCCGAGGGAGGCCTCTGCCAAGGCCTCTCCTGCTCTGCAATGCCCCAGCAGCGCTCGGGGACTTGGTGCCATTCGAGAGCTGGCCAGACCATCCATGCCAGGGGAGCCCCATCCAGCTCCTGGTGTGAGCCGGCAGCAGCATCCCTTAGCCTCAGGAGCGACCACCCAGTAGCCCGGTGCATTGCCCTGTGACGAGGAGGATGCAGGAACCCGGAACATGCATCGCCCCCACCCACCACGGACAGACACCCCAAGTCGAGTCCCACCAGGCCGGCTGTCTTGCCTGACCAGTAGTAGCTCACCTGCTGGGGGCCACCCCAGGGGAGGTTAGGGTGCAGACAAAGCCAGGTGGCTGGGAGGGCAGAATGGAGCCTCAGCCTCGTTGGCTGTCAGACCGATGGTTCCAGCTCCACCCTTCCATCGCGGCTGGCTGGATCTTCCTAGTGGCTGCTCTAACTTGCAAAGGGGATACCGCTGCCTGGCTGGCACATCTCTGCCAGCCCATGCTGCGTGCCCAGTGCCACGCTGGCTTGTGAGGCCAGGAACCCGCGATTTCCAGCCCCCCATGAGTGTGGCCACGACACCGCCCCTTCTTCCGGGCCGCAGGTGCCAGACAGGCACACTCCTTGTGCTCCCCTGCGGGCACTGCCCACGGCCCCCACTCACCTGGTCCGTCTCACACTCGCGCTGGCAGGTGCTCTGGGCATCCACCCACAGGTTAGGGTTCAGGTCATTGGGGCAGATGCCAGCGTGGGAGTAACGGATGGGCGGCAGGGCTCCGCCTCGAGGGGGCCCCCCAAGCAACAGCAGTGCCATCACTTGCCCCCAACGGGCCCAGAACCAGCAGGGACCCAGGACCCACATGGTGTGGTTCAGTAGTGGCCAGAGACCTCCCTGCGCTGACAGCGAAGCCCAGGGCCCACCGGGTCTCCTGCTTCTCCAGGGACCGCAGACACCTGCCCTCGATGCCCCCGCAGGCTCCCTCCAGGCAGGGGTAGGGTGGGGGCGGGGGTGGGGGCTGCAGCTCAAGCTGCCTCTATGAGTCTGCACAGCCTGCTGGGCCGCCGGCTTCAGATAAAAGGAAGATCTGGGCGGAAACTCCCTCTCCTGGGGGGGTGCAGCCGCAGCAGGGGCCCCGGCTGGGTTCTTCTGGGCGCAGCCGGGCGGGAGGGAGCCGACCTGATGCCTGTCACAGGCTGGCTGCTGGAACCTGGTCCGTGGCCGGTCGGTCGCAGACTTGTTGCAGGCTGGAAGCAGTTGAGGCGGCTGTATCTGGCACGGTGGGGCACCTGCTTGTTTTTGAGCTCCAGGGGGCCTTTAACCCCTTCAAGGGCCAGAAATGGCATGTGCTTTAGGGGAGCTGGCTCCAGGACACGAAAGCTCCCGGTAAAGCTGGGGTTTATTTCCCTTTCCCCACCCCACTTCCCTGTGGCCAGGCCCCCTCCTCCCCTTCGGCCACCTCTAAAGAACACACAATCGCTTGTTACAAGGAGGGACCTGCAGCCGCTGCCGCCGCGAGGTTAGCATCGCCAGGCCTGATAGCACATTTGAGAGCAAATGACGTGGAAAAACAACAAGTTCACGGCCACTCTAGGGCGGGTGTGAGCGGGCTGTGCTCTGTAAGCAGACGCCTACCCCAGCAGCTAGGCCTTGGTAGGGGGCGTGGGCGCCTACCGCTACGTATCTCTCGTATCTCCTGGTCCCAAGCAGTTCATGTCTCAGGTTCCAACCTCACCGCATTTTCCCCAAATCATTCCAGAGATACATACCAGATATGCTCCCCTCCCTGGCTGCCCTGCCGGGAGGGATCACATTCCTTGCTCCTGGGGGACACACTTGTTGGCTCCAGGAAAACCTACATGGTACCAGGGTCTCCAGAGCGAGCTGGGACCACCCAGCTGCCCTGGTGAATGGCGGCCTTCGCTGCCAGGTATCGAACCCTCTCCCAGGGACCAGCCCTCTGCGGGTGTGACCCCTCTCTCCCTCTGTCCACAGAGGAACAGGCTCAAAGTCAGAGATGGCAAGAGATTTGCCCAAGGTCACACACACATCATAATAACAGACCTTATATATGGGGCTCTTATATATGTGCCAAAGGAGCCCTGTTGGTGCCCTGGGCTAAGCATTGGGCTGCTAACCAAAGGGTGGGTGGTTTGAAAACACCCGCCACTCCACGGGAGAGAGCAGTGACAGTCTGCTGCTGTGAAGATAGGCAGCTTTGGGAACCCCACGGGACAGTCCTACAGCGGGGTCTGCCCTACAGAGTGGCCAAGAGCTGGAATACACCAAATGCCCTGGAGCGTGGTTTTTAGTGTATGCGTCCTGCGCTGTGGGCCATTCCGCTCTGTCCTCTGTGCTATAGATTTGAAGATGCATGCACAGAGAGGGTAGGCAACTTTGCCCATGTCACACAGCTCCAGGATCCTACCAGGACCACAGGTAGTGGGCAAACCAACCGGCAGGGGCCCTTGGAAGGAAGCCGGCTGACTCCATTCATCTGTCAGAACTGCCCCAAGGGGGTTTTATTGGTCTGGTTTTGTCTTTTGGAGACAATGGGGGGCCATATTCGTTGAGGAGCCCTGGCGAGAGTCAGAAGCTATCTGGGAACTGGGAGGACGGCCCCACCACGTGGCAGAGCGCGAGTTGTCTGGAGCACACCACAGGAGGGTGAGCAGGCTGGGTGTCACTGAACCCACGGGGCTGTAAGGTGGGGTGGCCGCGTTCCCCAGAAGAATGAGGGGCCTTTTCAAGGCCAGACCTCAAACCAGTAATGGAGGAGCTAGCTGCACACACGGGAATAGAAGTGGAAGTGACCGGAAGGCCCCGGGCAATGCTTCCATTTTACAAGATGGGGGAGCTGAGTGCTGAGCCCCGGCTCCTCCTTCCTTCCTCCTTCAGGGCTGTGGGACCTGACTGAAGAGGCAAGACGATTCCTTGTCCACCTTGCAGCCTTCCCTTGCAGCTAAGAGCCGTGGTTTCTTCACGCAGGGCCGATTCCTCCCCAGCCTGCGGGTCCTGCGTCAGAACCTGCCTCTTCTGCGCCTGTCGAATAGCTAATGAAAGGTGTCAGACCCTAATCCTCTAAATTATTGGAATACACTTCCCTCTGAGGCCAGTCCCAGTAATGAAGCCAGACAGCAGGCGACGCTGGCTGCTTTGAATCTCCTGTAATTTTATAAACCCGTGTTCCAGCTGCTCTGAGCAGGCCCCGCGCACGCGGCACTGGGTCTCACGGGTGCGCGGCCTCCTTTGATGTCTCAGAGGGAAATAGCTGGTGACATATTTCCAGGCAGGACTGAGAAACACTGTCACAGGCCCATTGCGGGAAGACGAGGATCCGGGGGGAGGCGGTGCTTTCTGGGGCGTCACTGAGATGCCAGGCTCGGGGTGAGGGGCCGGACTGGTGGAGAGAGGGCCTCCTCCAGCTGGGGTGGGTCCTGTGCCTCGGCCTCTCCCTCCCCGGGCCTCATCCCGGCTGCCCTTGTTCCAAGAGCTCTCAAAACAGGGTTGGGGGCCCCAAGAACACTCCCGACTCTCCCTCTCAGCCCGTCCAAGTCCCACCAAAACACAGCTCAGAATAATAAATAACATCTGAAGAGGGCTGTGAGCACACCCTGCTTCGCGGGCGGCATCATTCTTGACCCTCACGCCAGCCCCAGGATGCAGGCGGTAGGGCATGGTGCTTCCCTTGTGCAGAAGAGGAAACGGAGGCTGGGTGAAGCTGGGCCTGTCTGGGTCCCCTGGCCTCGGGGAAGCCCCCCACCACCACCACCGCCCACCCAGCAGCTCCCTGACCCCCAGCCCAGGGACCCCCCAGCTGCTCCAGAAGGGCTCCCCACTAGGCCCGCTGACACCCCTAAACCACTTGTTGTAAGCTGCTTCGGGTGCCCTTTGAAGTCTCCCGGGGGTGGTCCTTCCCTCAGAACCGCTGCGCCCCTCCATTGTTGCCCTGCCCCTCCTGTGTCTGTGTGTCTGTCTGCCTCACCCTCCTGTCTCCGTGGTCCTGAGGGCCCAACCTCATCAACCCTTGCTCCCAGCAAAGGGTCCCCAGCAAGGCTGGCTCAGCTGTCCACTCCCACCATCCACTAGGCCTCCCACTCCTCAGGCCTTGTGGGTGTCCCCGTCCTTCCCCCTGCCCCAGGGACATCAGGCACAGCTCAGCCCC